CGTATGACCTAATAGTTTACAGTTGGGGTAGTGTTTTTCGGTTATAGGAGAATTTTAGTATAATAAATTCGTATTTTGTCTATATACCTATGGACAAAGTCAAAAGATATTTGATGTGTCTTCCAGGCATTGGCAGGATTTGCATTTTTTTATGAGTAAAAATTTGAGCCGAAAGATATAAAGATTTTTGCTAACAATAAGTGTGTTCTATTCAAACAAAAAATAAAAATAACTATATTTATATCAATGCATTCAAATCTTAGTCAAAACTTTATTATAGATCCTATGCTATTCCGCTATGTTTTTATCATTGTTTAGCCGCTGACGGACAGTTGTTCAAACGTTGTCGATTTGCCGCCATAGGTCCGCCTTCAGTTTTCCGCTAACGGGCTGATGTAAATACGATATGCAAGCCAACGCGGTTACGCAACGGGCAGCCGACGTCGGCACGGCATAAGTGCTGACAGCGGTCCGTTATCGGTTCGCCTGTTTGATGTTTGCTGGGTAGGTAGTGATGTAGTGGTTGGAGCTCTGGCTTTAAAACTAAGGGTCCGTTGTTTAAAACCGGCTTCGGCCATAGAGGTATTATTGGTAAGAAAGGAAGCGTGAACTTCCTCGTTAAATGCTATTCCGCGGTGCTTTTTAATAAGTCTGTTAGGACTTCTCGGATCTAAATAATAATAAAAAAGTAATAATTGTAAAATAAAAAAAAATAAAAACGATATTTGTTCTTAACAGTGTAATGCGAGAGTTAACAGTAAAAACTAAATCCATTTTTTTTATTACATATATTGATAATACTTTTTTAAAACTTATACAAAAAATGTTAAAAAGTTATTTGACTAAAAGTTAAAAAGTTACTTGTCAAGCATAAATGCTCAAATTCGTCGCATTCGTTCCAAATTTGTCGCATTGACGCATTACAATTTTATTGCCCTCTCAAAAACTCAAAAATTTAGTTTTCTCAAAAACTAATGTACTCTATTAGACTTATGTTTATGCAGATTTATATGCATTATATACATTATATACATTTTGTTAAATGCATTTTTAGACACATACACATTTCTTATCTTATATTAGAATTATTGGCAAGGAACTTTTTTTATACCTTTAATGTAAATCAAAAGTTTAATTTTTATATACTTATTTTGTATTTTATCGGGTATTTTCATGATAAACCTTTTTTACATGTTTGATAAACATTTTTATTTACTTCCCTTCTATAATTTTTTTAGTGATAACCTGCATGCACATATTGCGCATGCAGGCTTTTACAGTATCAGCGGAATATTGCCCTTGCCCACCCCCACATCTGGACATGTATGTTATTTTGAAAGTTTGTTATACATAAGCAAAACAAAGCGCGCGTAAAACCTAAATTTTTTTGTAAAAATAATGTTTACGCAAGTAAAACAAAGCCCGCGCAAAGTATAAATTTTTTGGTGAAAATAATGTTAAATATGTTGATGTTAAAAAAAAAAAACACAATGTAATACGCGTATAAACAAGAGCAGCAAAACATTAAAAAACCATTAAAACATTAAAAAACCAACAAAGAAAAACATTAAAAAACCAACAAACAAAAAACCAAAAAACATTAAAAAACCAACAAACAAATTAAAAAACCAACAAACAAATTAAAAAACCAACGAACAAAAAACCGAAAAACATTAAAAAACCAACAAAGACCGCGCAAAGTATAAATTTTTTGATGAAAATAATGTTAAATATGTTGATGTTAAAAAACACACAATGTAATACGCGTTTAAACAAGAGCAGCAAAACATTAAAAAACCATTATTTTAACTTTACAAGTATCCAACTCATTTATTGAAGGTTTAATTAACAAAAAAAAAAGTCTTTTTAAACGATTTCTCGCTTAAGACAATTATTTGTTGATTTCAAGGATTTGTTGAGGTCATGCTATTTGACCATGAAAATAACGTAACTCTAAATTAATGCGACGAGCGCTGTGGATTATGAACTTTTTTAATCAATTGAAGTAGGATTAATTTAATATGAATGAAAAATTGTCAATCAAAATCAAATGAAGTAGAAAATGAATGACAATGTCAATCAAAATTAATTGAAGTAAAATATGAAATTGTTTTTGCCAGTTACTTTATATTATTGTGTGTAAATGTTCAAATGCTTAGATGTTTTATATTTTTGGATAAAATCTCAAACTCGTATTGCAAAGGTGAAAATTTTATCAAAATTGGATGATTCCATAAAAAGTTATGAACAAATGATTATAAAAAGTTATTAACAAATGACAAAATTTGAGTAAAAGAACTTGAGTTAAGAAAATAATTTTAGAAATTTTTACAGGATAAACTGTTGCATTATTATTTTTAATTTAAGTTCACACACTTTAGTACCTAAGGAAGGTTTTTGGAGAGAGCAATGATAATATATTAAAAAAAGAACAGCAAAGTCCTCTCCCAGAGGCGGCTGGGAAAGACTTAAGTGCCTTTTTCGTTTTTTAGACATTAAGCTAAAAATATAAAAATTTTAATTTTTTCAGCACATAACATATATCCCAGACAGCACACGACTCCGGGCCAGAACTCTGGCTAATCATCGCACGCCATTGCGACTATATTAGTAACGGCGGGAGTCTGGCAAGCGACCCAAGCAACTTTTTCATGTTTGTTAATCATCGCAAAGAGTCACAGCGGCGTGCGAGAGCTCTGGCGAATAGTCGAAATCCACTGCTGGTATTTGATTTTGGCCCGATTGTGGTGGGTACAGAGTTTTGGCCGAATGTTGTTTTTGTTTACCATGATGACACCATAAAAGCGAAACTAAACGTTTACAAGATATATTTTGTTGTTACAATAAAATATTTTTGTACTTTAATTTTGTATAAAAGTTAAGCTGATATGCAATAATGCTTATTTAATAAAAAACACGGCTGATAAAAAGTGAACGACTTTCATAAGGTTAGATATATCTAACTGTGATTTTTAATTTACAATAAAAAATGAAACATTTTAATCTCAAGAACTGCAATTTGATGACTAAATAAAGAATGTACAACTTTTTTAATTTAGTTTAATATATATATATATATATATATATATATATATATATATATATATATATATATATATATATATGTTTATATATATATATATATATATATATATATATATATATATATATATATATATATATATATATGTATGTATGTATATATATATATATATATATATATATATATATATATATATATATATATATATATATATATATATATATATATATGTATATGTATGTATATATATATATATATATATATATATATATATATATTTATATATATACATATATATATACATATATATATACATGTATATATATATATATATATATATATATATATATATATATATATATATATATATATATATATATATATATATATATATATATATATATATGTATATATATATATATATATATATATATATATATATATATATATATATATATATATATGTATATATGTATATATATATATATATATATATATATATATATATATATATATATATATACATACATATACATACATATATATATATATATCTACTATAGCATATTTATATGCGCAATTGCTCACTTTTTTTGCTAGCCTAAATTAAGTGAGCATTTTTAGAAAACGATAAGGGAAAACGAAGAATAATGAATGAAAATGTTGCTGACCCATACCAAACTCTCAGTCGATGTAGCAGCACTCCACGGCGAGTCAGGCTATTTGTCAGTCGATGTATGTACTGAAGCCCCCGGCAGCAGGCTATTTGACATTAGGTGAGTATGACATCATCATGCTCACCTAACTCAGCAGTATAAGATATATACATATATATATATATATATATATATATATATATATATATATATATATATATATATATATATATATATATATATATATATATATATATATATATATATATGTATATATATATATATATATATATACAATGCTGTAGTAAATCAACATAGTTAGTTTACTACAGCATTAAACAACAGCTATACCTTTTTTTAAGGTTTTTAATACAAGATAATGATGTTTACTTTATAAATTTCTATCTTGAAGCAACATGTGACAATATATTTGTTAGACAATAAAAGGAGTATGTTTAACTTACATATAATTTTGGCGCTTTATTTTATTTTTTTTTATTTTTAAAACACATATTTATGCTCAAGGATGTTAAAAAACAAAACAAATGTAAAACTACACTTTACTACTTAAAAATAATTTCCAGACAGCTATGGCACTAAGATGATTGGGCTAAGATTTTTTGATAGATAATCCTTAAGACACTAACAATTTATTTGTGTAAAAATCTAAACACGATTGGCATGATGTGGATATGAGCGGAAATGACTTTAAATTAGGATACACTCCTTTGTTTAGTGAAAATTGTTTGTATTTTTGACGAAAGTACCTATATTCTGTACTAGTAATTTTTGAAAAAATTAAATTTTTTTACTTATCCTTATAATTCAGTTCTGTTAGGAATACTTTTAGCACCAAATTTAAAAAAAGTTGAACATGTTGCAATTTTAAATGAGGATTTTCTCAAGTGTGTCTTGTTACACTTGTTATAGTTTGTTAAAATTAGTACATGGTTTATTTTTATTCTTGATAACAAAAGTGCTCATAGTTTATTTTATTTTTTATTATATTGTGTCTCAAGTGTGTTTTTTTAATAATAACAATACTGTAATAATATTGTTTATAATAGTACATTCCATAGTAAATATTTAACTACTTTGATCGTATAAATGACATCATAAAAAATGCTTTCGATGAATGTCATGTAATGTGTTTTTTTAATTTTTTTTTTATCATTCATTTGCATTTTATTTTCTGAAATACTTTTAGTATTTTTTATTGCTCTATATTTTAGCATTTCTCAAATTTAAGTTTTTTTTAAATGATCAAATATAGCAAAGTGACCAATTACACTTAATGTCTATAATTACTATTTTTAATATAATTTATTTCTATATTTAGCATATTATTTATTACTATGAGAACGATGAATTAGTTTTATCATATTGTTAAATTTTTTGATGAAAAAAAAAACTCAGTGGCTGTTTTTCCTGTAAAGCGGATAACAAATGAATTGTGGATGACCATGCTCCTATAAGACCCACTGCATTAACCAAGCCATTGAAAAGTGTGAAGATTATATAGATGATTGGATTGATTATGATTTAAATTTTTTGTATAACTCTGGTTAGTTATTTTATGCATATTTTTACCAATATATATTTTTTCTATAATATATAAGTTTTTTGTTTGTTTGTTATTTTCAAGTATTTTTTAACAATTTTTTACTATTTTAATTTTTTAATTACATATGACTAAACAAGAGAAAAAATACCTATGGCAAAAGTTTTTTCAGACTTTTTTCAAACAATGAGGGTAAAGATCTAATAAATTAAAAAATATATAGATTTCAGAAGAGTCTTTGTCTTACAAGGTGATAATCATGATTATGATGGTTGTGATGATTGTATCATTAAATGATAATAATGATCATATATAATTTAGATAATGATTATCATATCATGATGTTGGTTTACTTTCATTATTTTATAAAGATGTATATTATCACATATTTATATATTTAAGTTCAGAAACTGACACTCCGAAAAAAATAGAAAGTTGTAAAAAGTAAAAAAATACACTTGCTCCAGCCCATGCTATTCCTCCTTCAACATTTTTATGTATTGAAAATTTGACTTTTTCAGGTCATTTAAAAATAAATAACTTTTTAAAACAAGGCTCTGTTTCTGAAGTTTTAGAAGAGAGTGTATTTTTATACTTTTTTTATTTGAAGATTTTTTTTTCTTTTTGTAACGGACAAACAATTCCAAATGTTCTGAAACATTCTTTTTGTTGCTTATTGAAGTGAAATCAATCTTTAAGGTGTGTTAATCAGTTGCTAATTGAATCAGTTGCTGGATAAAATAAAGCAGTCATAGCTCCCTAAAACACTATTACATCATCAGTTGCATCTAATGCTAAAATTGAAGCACACACAGACACACACATATGTATGTATATATATATATATATATATATATATATATATATATATATATATATATATATATATATATATATATATATATATATATATATATATATATATATATATATATATATATATATATATATATATATATATATATATATATATATATATACTCTTGCATGTCTCTTGCATGGCATCAAAAAAAGTTTCCCATAAACTGTAGTTTTAAAGAGCGCGTTAATAAACTAGACCAGAAAAAATTATTAAATTTAATTATTTTTTTTAAAACTGATAGACTCCCTGGCCAAACCAAACCCTCAGTCGATGTAGCAGCACTCTCTTGCGAGTCAGGCTATTTGTCAGTCGTTGTAGCAGCACTCCCTTGCGAGTCAGGCTATTTGTCAGTCGATGTAGCAGCATTCCCTTGCGAGTCAGGCTATTTGTCAGTCGATGTAGCAGCACTCCGTTGCGAGTCAGGCTATTTGTCAGTCGATGTAGCAGCACTCCGTTGCGAGTCAGGCTATTTGTCAGTCGATGTAGCAGCACTCCGTTGTGAGTCAGGCTATAAGATAGTCGATGTAGCAACATTTACGCATGTTTTAAAAATGTTTTTTATTAAATCAATAACAAAAACATCACTATTTAAAAAAAACTTTCTAGTCGTTATAATTGCGGTTTTTTAAAAAATTTTTAAAAAATAATTAAATTTAATGTACTTCCGCATAAATTAATTGCTTTGACATTTCGATGACAATCAAAAACAGCTTAAGAGACGAGGTAATTAAAATTGTAGTTGAAAGGGACTTTTTTTACATTAAACGACTCTTTCGACTACACTATAAGGATATATATATATATATATATATATATATATATATATATATATATATATATATATATATATATATATATTATATATATATATCTTTGCATAAATAATAATTTGAACTATTAATAACATTTTTTTGTTTATAATTTCATTATTTTTTAACACATTTTTGGTTAGCAATAAATTTCGAAAATACTTATTTATTTTTTTCGATATAAGTTGGAATATATATAAACACATTTAAATAAATGCTAACCTTGTAGTAAACTGAATTTAAATGTTTCATTTCTTTTTTATTATTATTTTAGTTTTTGGGGTCTTAAGTGGCATCCAAGAGATTTTTATCTGTGATATGGTTTCTTGCTGATATAAGCAAACGAACACTTTATTGTACTGGTTAGTAGTATTCTTACAATTTATACTTAGAGTTATGCTCTTTTTTTTATTATTGTATTTAAAAAAAAATAATTATTTAAAGTTTTTACAGCAGTTGAAAAAGAGCTGCTTTTTTTCGTAGAAAAATTTAAATAAAAAGTTGGATACTAATGATGCACCAATTAGTCAACTTATTGGAATGTTGAACAAAAACAGTTAATTGTTTCTACTTAATAAATTCTTTATGTTTCCAGTTAACGACGAGGAATGTTTGATCAAATTCAATGGAGTTATTGATTCAAATAAGAAAGTTATGTATGTACTGGTAAGTGCTAGCGATATATATCAATATATATCAATGTATATATATATATATATATAACAACATATATATATATATATATATATATATATATATATATATATATATATATATATATATATACATATATATATATATATATATATATATATATATATATATATATATATATATATATATATATATATATATATATATGTTTATATATATATATATATATATATATATATATATATATATGTTTATATATATATATATATGTATATATATATATATATATATATATATATATATATATATATATATATATATATATATATATATATATATATATATATATATATATATATATGTTATTTTCTTGTTTCTTTATAAAGAACATTTTTAATGTATTTTTATTTAGTTTTTACAGTATAAAATAAATATTTTACAATCTATAAAATTATACAAACTTAAAATTGTTTAGTTCAACTACTTTTTATTAAATTTGAAAACAATGGTGGTTATTATGTATAATGTCTACTTAAATATTAGAGGAGGAAAATGGCATCCAAAGGTGACTTCACTCTAAAAACAGTCCGTTAAAAAAAGTAACGGATTGCGCTTTTTTGTCAAATTAACAGATTAATTCGTTAACAAAAACCAGAAAATTAACAGAGTAAAATTAACTATTTACGGATTCTTTGAAATTTCGTTAATTCAACAGACTAGATATTATAATCGGTCAAAAAAAAAAATTTAGTATATTATATCTTTTTATTTTGAAAATGATAAAGTTTTGAATGCGTTTTTCTCACATTTACATTTACATCGTAGATAAAAGTTGGTTGCAATAAGTGTAATATGCCATTTTTTAAAAGGCTTTACATTTAGTAGACAAAGCATATGGATAAATATAATTTAAATTACGCTATGTTATTTCGAAGGTTATTTAACTTATTTTAAATTTTCTATATAAAGCTTTATACAGAAAATTTAACACTAAGTTTTATTTTATTTTAAATTAAAAGCCATTAGTGTTACTAAATAATATATAATAACATATATGGTAAGTTAACACATATAATATATGGTAAGTTACTACATGTCTAAATCTAGAAAATTATGCAAGAATATATGCAATCCATATAGTCTATATTATAGAAATAAAAGTTCAACTAATCCTTTACTAGTAGTAAAGGGTTAGTTGATTAATTATTTCTATAATATAGACTAAATGGATTATTTATAGTCTTGTTTAACTTTATATTTTAGACATATGACATGTAGTAACATACCATATTAGTTTAAATCAGTTGTAAAATTAAAAATGTTAACATCTTTGATAGATATATTTATTTAGGCTAGTTACACCTAAGTTCAAATGGATAGTTAATATGCTTTTATAAATTGCAATTTTTATTAATTTCCAAATTAAACATGTGGCATCCAATATCATAAACTTAGATTATACTGGTGTGTTTATATTATTTTAGAATTTTTTGTTTTAGACACATGGCATTTGTTATCCCACTGTAAGTTAAAACTAGTTGTAAAATTAAAAAATTTATATTGGAACTTTTTTTTCTTTTAACATTCATGTTTATTTATTTATACTATCTTAGAATTTGCTGCTTTAGAGGCATGGCATTTAGTGTCACATTGTAGGTTTAAATTGGTTGTAGAATTTATATTGTAACTTGCATATTTATTTAGTTGAGTTTAATCTAAGTTTATATCTGATGTGTTTGTATTATTTTAGAATTTACTGTTTTAGACACGTGGCATGTGGTATCCCACTGTAAGTTTGAATTAGTATATTTTAAAACAAATTATATTTTAACTTGCATTTCTTTTGACGTTCATGTTTATATAATTAGATTACAACTAAGTTTGTGTATGGCTTGTTTATATTATTTCAGAATTTGCTATTTTAGACACTTGTTATAAGCTGTCATACTGTAAGTTTAAATTGGTTGTAAAATTTATATTGTAACTTGCATTTCTATTGGCGTGCTTATTTATTTAGTTGAGTTTCAACTATTAATAATGATAATAATAATAATAAGTTTATATCTGGCGTGTTTATATTATTTTAAAGTTTACTATTTTAGACACGTGGTATGTGGTATCCCACTGTAAGTTTGAATTAGTAAATTTAAAAAAATTGTATTTTAACTTGCATTTCTTTTGGCGTGCATATTTTTTTAGTTTAGTTAAGACTAAGTTTATATCACACTTTTTTAACTATTATTCTACTATATTCTATATTCACTATTATTTTAGAATTAGCTATTTTAAACATGTGACAAGTGGTATGACACTGTAAGTTTAAGTAAGTTGTAAAATTAATTTTTTTTATATAGTTGCTTGCGTTTTTTTTGGTCTGCATTTAATCTTGTTTTGATTTATCATAGTTTTTAAAAGGTTAGAGATTTTATTTTTTGCTCCTGATAGGTATTGATGTATGTGAAATGTATAGAGTCTTTTAGTTATCAGATAATGTCAAGGTAATCTTATACTTTTTTTTTAATTTACATTTTAATAAAAATATAATTTACTTGTTCCATTTAACTTTATCTTTAAAAAACGATATCAGAGATAATTAAAATAACAAAATTTAGAATAGAAATTTATACATAATGAATTACCAAAAACATTTTCTATAGTGCTATCAGTAACATTTTATTTTGGTTCTATACTAGGTATGTTATTAAGTTTCAATATTTTCCTTATTTTATTTTATATTAATCTTTAAGGAGTTGACAGCATGGTGTTCGATTTAAAGTGCGAACCTGTGTACGAGTAACAACAGTATTCAAAACCAAAACCTATTTAAACCAACCAAACCAAAACTAGCGACCAAAATCTATCTTGGCATTGGTTTATTTTAAACATCTATTATATATGTGTGTGTTTTTTATATAAATGTACTAGCTTGAGTATAGTGCATTAAAAAAATTTTTAAGTATTTTTATTGTAATTTAAAGTATATTGGATTAAATATTATAAATATTTTTAGTTTTCAATTTTTGGTTAAAACATTTTAATGTAGAATATCGAAATAAAATAATGCAATTAAATAAAAAAGCAAACATTAACAAATATAAGGGTTATTTGGTTATGAAGTCACAATTCTGGCCTCTCTAATTTTAGAATTTAGTGATTTTAATGAAATAATCACTAAAATAACTTATTAACACATTTATTTCATAGGAATAACAACCGCGGAAAATTTGCTGCCTAGTGTAATAACTCCTTAATTTTAACGGATTATTCGTTGCACTAACGAAATAAATCCGTAAATTCAACGGACTATTCCTAACGGACTTCAATTCGTTAAAATTTTAATTTGTTAACTTAACGGATTTCCCGTTAGTGCAATAGCGACAGATACAATTCGTTGTATATAACGGATTTTTTCTTAGAGTGTTTAAAATAAGGAAGATTGTTAGGAATATGATTCCAATGGTTATTGGCATTAATATAGAGAAGGCAATTAATTGATCAGGAGCAAACAATAAGCTTGCTTCGAAAGCAATGCCATTACATTATTGGGTAAGAAGAAATTTTATTCTCTTTATAACATTTGTATGTATGCATATAAGAATAATTAAAAAAGCAGGTTTTTAAATAGTCCACTCCTCAACCCTATATGTGATCTATATAATAAAATAGCTCAAGATAAAAATTTTAATACTAGTACTCGAAAGATGCAATATTAAATAAAGTTTTCAAAAATAACAATCATTTTATATAAAAAATATTATTTCAATAAAAACTGCGGTTTTTTGAGTCATTATTTAATTTCCTAATAATAATTATTTTTAAATGTTTTTTTTATATAAAATTGTGACTATTTTTAAAAATTTTTATTTAGTTTTTGCATCTTTTTAGTACCAGGTTGACATAATAATAAAATAAAATTTGGTAATTGAACTTGCCATATGTTTAAGCGTCTTATGAAAAATATTCTTTTAAATTTTATATTTATTGTTATTTTATTATATAGAATAGGGTTGAGGTGCGGAGTTTTAAAAAAGAATTTCACTTTAATAGCATCAAGAAAAGAGTTTAAACATTATCTGAAAAGATATTTTTACCTATCCGGGGATCAAAATAGTGGACGAAAAGCTCGAGAGGAACGGTCTTTGTATAAAAAATTCTTTGCATAAATATTATTTGAACTATTAATAACATTTTTTATTTTATAATTTCATTATTTTTTAACACATTTTTGGTTAGCAATAAACTTCGAAAATAATTATTTATTTTTTTCGATATAAGTTGGAATATATTTCTATAAGTACTTATTTGTTTAAATTATGTGGGATAACACATTTGCACATAATTTAAATTATGTGGGATAACACATTCCGCAGGCGGAACTTGGGCAGCATTCGGTCGCTAGCGGGTGGCTGTCTGGAATGCATATAACATAAGTTAAACGCATTTTTAGACACGTACACATTTCTTATCTTATATTAGAATTATTGGCAAGGAACTTTTTTTTTTACTTTTATTGTAAATTAAAAGTTTAATTTTTTATATATTAAACTTTATTATTAAAATTATATTAACTTATTATTAAAATTATATTTATTTTGTATTTTATCGGGTATTTTCATGATAAACCATTTTTACCTGTTTGATAAACATTTTTATTTACTTCTCTTTTATAATTTTTTTAGTTTCAGTAGAGAGTTCTAAGTATTATATGTAAGTTTTATTCATATCACTCAATTATTACAAGGTACTGATTTAAGATTGTAATTGTGGTTATTTATTATTTTGAAAGTTTTATATAAATTTTTTAATTTAATGATGTTACTCAAACACGGCAAACTATATATTTACTAGAGCTTCATAAAAATGTAGCAGTCAATGCAAAGTCTTTTCTTCTTCTTAGTTTGATGGAAGTTTCAATTAATAATTAAGTACCGAGAAGTTTTATTCTACAATTATATCAAAGTTTTTTTTTTAATATTCGATTTTTGTCCATTTATTCTAAAATTTATTTTTTTTTTATCAATTTTTCTGTCTTTAGATTTTAAGAAAATAATTTTAGTGTTTAGTTAGCTCTTATTTGCATGAAACCGCTTAAAAAAATATTAAAATTTATATTAAACCAAACGCAAACAGTCATAGTTAAAATGGTTACTTAGTTTGTTATTTTTCAACTATTAGCATATGTATAAACATATGTTGTATAAACAATTATTGTAAACTACAAGTTATTTGATATAATATATCAATATAATGTATAAGCTTTCTGCATATTATGCAGAAATCCAGCTCATCTGATGCACTTGAAAAAATTTTTTGAGGCTCTACTGAAAAAATATGGGTCTGTAGTTAAAGCAGTTTTGTTTAGAGCCTTTTTTAAATAAAAGTATTACTTTAGCAACTTTGAATAGGTCGGGGTATGATGGTTGCTATGATGCTTAGTAGGTAATTAAGTTCTTGTAATGTGAGAACAAGTATTTTTAAAGAAATATTCTTCGGCCCTATTCGTTTTTATAAACTCATGACCGAAATCTAGTTATTTATACGTTTTATAGATATATAGTCTAGATATATAGTATACAGATATATCTATCAAACAATTAAAAAGCAGATTTTTTACATACTGAGAGAAACGACTAATGCTAGAAATTTAAATAGTTCAAAGTCGTCGATAGATTGAAATTAAAGAATTAATTATCTTTTTATTATTACTCATTTTAAAACATATATTTGTATATTTCCCTGTGAATTTTACCAAACAAAATTAAATTTATAATGCCATATATTGCATATCCGTGTTTTGTATAAATAAATCTGATAATATTAATACGCTAATTTAATAGTAGTACTCAGGTTGTTTAAGGCCAGTCTCGGGTTTACTTCGTTTATTTGCGGGTGACGTAATAATTTGTCGTTCAGTTCTCGCGGGATAATTTTAAAACGTTGTTTTATAATATAGCGGTGACTTCTAGACTTAAAAAACCCGACAAGAAAGTTTTTTAAGCAATTATTAATTTTTCAAATACAGATCATGAGTTCATAACATGCTATGAATTATCATATAATACAATGAATTCATAACAAACCATATTATTTATTGTTCAAATCTTAAATATTTTTGTGTTGGTAAAAGATTGTTTAAAATGTAAATTGTTTTTAAATTGGATGTAAATGTAGTGCATTCTAGTAAAATAGTGTTAAAGATAAGTATTTTTTTATTAATTGATTAACGCACTGTTCTTTAAAAAAATTGGTCTCTCTATATGTAGAATTTCTATAGAAAGAGTGGTCAGTTGTATAACTTGTATTTTAGTTGTATTACTGCTCTATTTTTAAAGAACAGAGCTGTGATCAATAAGTAAAAAAACACTAATTTTCATGATGTTCCTCCACTCCTCACTCCTCCAAAATTAAAACTGGCAATATATATATATATATATATATATATATATATATATATATATATATATATATATATATATATATATATATATATATATATATATATATATATATATATATATATATATATATATATATATATATATATATATATATATATATATATATATATATATTTATATATCAGGCGCGGATCCAGGAATTGGAAACTGTGTGGCCAAGTCCGGGTTCGCGGATGGCGCGAACAGCTAATTTTTTTTTTTTTATTGAGTGATTAGGGGGGGGGGGACAATAAACAACAAAAAAAAAAGGTTAAAATTTAAATTTTTTCCATTTGCCGACATTAAAATGTCAAAATTTGCCAACTATATTTTAAATTGCAAAATACAATTCGATATTAGCCAGTGGAGGAAGAGGGGATGACATCACCCTATTCCCTTCTCCCATTTTAAGATAAATTTCTTTACTTTTGTTTTTTTCTGTGGGAAGGACCGATGAAGTAATCCCACGGACTCAATATGTATCATTTTTTTAAACTTTAATACGTAGGGAGACTAACCTACTTTACTTAACTACTCTAGATTAAATAATCTGAGAGCGCCATGATTACAATAAGTATAATAGTTTTCACGCTTGAGACTAAAAACTTTGTTGTTCTGTTGTAGACGAAATGAGCGACGAATTCGTCTTCGACGAATTTTTATATAAGGAATCAATTAATAAAATTATTAAGAGATCATTCATATTATATACATAGACTTACAAAAATTATATCATATTTTAATCTTATTCAGTAGAAATAGCTTTCTGTATGAATAAAAAAAACACTTAATTTTGATATTTCTTGTTAGAAATAAACTCTCTAAACAATTGTGTAATTCAAAAACGCATACATTTTTAAAATTATTAATTATTACATAAAATATTAAAATGCATTATAGGTAAAAAAATGTTATATATGAGAAATTGACTTGTATATCAGATTTTTCACTTTTTACTTGTAATTGAAATCTATTTATTTCGTGTTTGTTTGACAAAATTCTGCTAATGCAAAGTTATTCTAAACAATCGAGTCAATCGTGGTAAAGTTTATTTTGTATTGTTTTTAGTTATCCATTTAATAATAAAGTTATTCAAAATATTGCCTTGGCTATTTAGTTCATAAATTAGACATAGCACTTGTCTAAATCACTTAATGAAGTGCACCAACGAGTAGGTAAGCCATAGGACTTTGCACTCCATCAGTAAACTGTCGTGTTGCCTAAGGTTAGCCCACTATTTCTGGATTTTTTTTTTATGATATGCAGTTATGTACAAATATTTTTAAAACATTAAAAAAAATTTTTTTAAATTAATTTTAATAAATAAATAAACAAGACAAAATATAATACAACAAATAAAGTAACAATCAATAAAGTAACAGCCTAAATCACATGAAAACAATTTCAACATTAG